TGTTACTTTCACTGTCATTTTTACCCCTAAAAAATAACTAAGTAACAAAAATAATTTTTAAACTTGAAATCGTGCAATCCTGGTATCTATGATGAGTTTGTTCACAATCACTGGTTTGATGCCACTGCTGCTTGCATTTTCTCCCTGAGGATATCACCAGACTACTGACATGCATTATTATTCATTATAAATATAGCTGTTTATAAAACTGTGAACTTTTTGAAATACTAAAGATTTTCTACCCAGGAATAAATGACCGTAGTTGTATTTTTGAATTTTTCATTGAGGAATTTTGGATCCTCAATGCTCTTAAACTTCGTAATTTGTTCGGCCTCTCACATTTGTTTAATTCGAGTGTCACTGATGGGTCTTTTTCAGACGAAACGCGAGTCTGGTGTGCACAATTTTAATCATGGTATCTATTATGACTTTATTTTCAACCACTGTTTCAATGTCACTGTTGGTGGAGTATTTTTCTTTCCGTGTATTACAAGCCCAGTAGTCACATTGCTGTGTTAACATGAATTATCACTGAACATGCTGAAATAGCAATAATTATAAATTGACAGAAGTCTTTTCAAAACTTTTTCGAACTACTTTGGTTTATGTACCCCAGGAATATATTACCTTAGCTGCATTTGGTAAATTCTTTTATGAATTTTGAATCCTCAATGTCTTCATCTTTGTACTTTGTTTGGCCTTTTAAACTTTCGAGTGTAACTGATAATTATACAAAAGAAGATGTGGTATGATTGCAAATGAGACAACTCTCCACAAGAGACCAAATGACACAGAAATTAACAGCTATAGGTCACCGTACGGCCTTCAACAATGAACAAAGCCCATACCGCATAGTCAGCTATAAAAGTCTGTTTTAAGTCGAAAAGCGCGTCTTGCGTACATAATTTTTGTATCTATGACGAGTTTATTTTCAACTACTGTCTCGATGACACTGCTGGTGGAGTTTTTTTTACTTCAGGTTATCATCAGCCCAGTTGTCACAACTTCTGTATGAATTATCATTAACATGGTCATAACTATAACTTGACTGACGTGTTTTTCAAAATTTAGAATTTTTCGAAATACTAAGGTTTATATATTGGAATCAATGCTCTTCAATTTCGTAGTTTGTTTAGCCTTTTACATTTGTTTAATTCAAGCGTCACTGATAAGTAGTTTTTAGACGAAACGCGCGTCTGGCTTACAAACATCCAATCCTGGTATCTTTAATGATCTTATTAGCAACCACTGGGTCAATGCCACTGCTAGTGCAGTTTTTCTCCCCGAGGGTATCACCAGCCAAGTAGTCAGCACGTATGTGTTGACATTAATTATCATTGACATGGATATTATAATAATTTAACTGTTTTCGAAATTTTTAAGTTTTCGAACAATACTAAGCATTTATTTTTTACCCCGGTAATAGATTGCCTAAGTTGACTGTCAGTGGTGAGTATGTTTTAGACGAATCGCGCGTCTGGCGTACAAAATTTCATTCCTGATATCTATTATGAGTTTATTATTTTCACAATTGTTATATTATTATTCTAAGCCTACAGGAAGGCCGTATAGTACTTACAGTTTATTAACTCTACGTTATTTGGACTCTTGTGGACATTTGTATCATTGACATTAATACTGTTCGGATTAGTTCCTACCTTGAAAGTTTTTTTAGAACTGTCAGAAAAATCTTAAATTTTCATAGAATCATTCTAAAATTGTCTCCCTTAAAAGGTAGAACTGGAAGCATTCTACGGAAGAACTGTCAAATAAAATTTAGGCTAGAATTATTCAAACCACTTCTGTCAGAATATGTTGTAAATGTTCAGGAGAATCAAACTAACGACTATTCAAGAACAGTTTCTAACAGGTTTTAAGGAAATCAGTTCTACATCTTCTTATATTTATAGATAAGATTTTAATATGAATCCAACAGAATTGCCGTCTTTGTACTATTAAAATAAAAATATCTCTTGAGGGCTGGAATTCGTATTGATTTTACTACAGGTTAGTCCTTTATGCAGATATTTTACCCTTCGCTATCGCTCGATGTACAGTATGTAGCATTAAGTGCCCACGCAGTGGTAAAACTAATATAAATTCAAGCCCCCATGCATTATTTTTTAAATAGTTTATTATACTCGGCAATCCGGTACATAATATTCTACTTCTAGTGTTGTTGTCTCATTGGCATTAATCCCATATTTTCATTCATTCCTCCATGCTCTTCAATTTCGTTTTTTTTTTTTTTTTTTTTAGTCTTTTAACTTTTTTTATTTTGAGTGACACTGGTGAGTCTTTTGTAGAAGAAACATTCGTCGTAGATACAAAACTATAATCCTAGTATCGCTAATGAGTTTGTTTCCTTATACATGAGCAACAATTGCAACAATTTTACATAACGAAAATTCATATTTGAAGTATTCCATACTTTAACGGCCAGTCTGTGTTGTGTTGTTTATTGCATATGCTTTTTCTTAATGCCCACAGCAACCACTATTTTCAATTTTTATGGGGTATTCCGTGATCTCTAAACTGATTACTTTCAATCCAAACCGCCAATTATTCCTCTACCATTTTGTCATTCCTTATCAGGCCTGGTGACACATGTAAACATGTTTACATAAATAATGTAAATAATGAAATGTTTGAAAAAAGTAAAATAACAAATACACCGAACTCCTAGGAAAATTCAAAACGGAAAGTCCATAATCAAATGGCAAAATCTAAAGCTGAAACACGTCAAAAGAACGGATACCAACTGTCATATTCCTGACTTGGTACAGGGATTTTCTTATGTAAAAAATGGTTGATTAAACCTGGTTTTATAGCAGGCTAAACCTCTCACTGGTATGACAGTCGTATACAATTTTATTATATTGACAACGATGTGTGAACAAAACAAACAGACGTAATAGGAAGAAATGTAAAAAAATAGAGGTACCGCAGTCAACATTGTGTTATAAAATTGAGAATGGAAATGGGGAATGTGTCAAAGAGACAACAACCCGACCATAGAGCAGACAACAGCCGAATATAATATAATCTATATTAGTAAAAAAACAAACAAATATGTCACCACAAAAAGGCATATAGACAAAGCACATTAGCAATAATGAAAGATAAGAATACAAAAATTTACCATAGCACAACAACACAATGACGGGATGTATAAGTACCGGGCCACGTCAAATGAATATTACCAAAAATAGACTAAATAGTAAAAGTAATATTCACAACGACAAATAAAAGAATACTATAACACGTTATTAAGATGATAAACATCGTCAGTACCTAGAATCTATACTTCTATAAGACCATCGTGTATTATTTGTGAAGTTGATACGGAATATTTATCAACAAGGTCTTTGTATCTTCCGATGAACTTTTTCAGAAAAAGGACGAGATGTTCTTTGACATAACCCTGGTTCATCAACTTTCTGCTCTGACACTGGTGACGTTTTACACAGTCTGAGTAGCAACTGCAAGCTCTCAAATACCGAATAAGTTGGGGAATGTATATCCCATATGCAGGTGAAGTTGATATATTGCTACTAAGGTGAGGAATATTTGTTATTTCAAAATTAAAATCGTCTCGTTTGTCATGGTACTGAGATGACTGCGTATGTCGAATTTGAGGTATAAGTCTAAAAATGAGGCAGAGGAAGCCTTGTCTGTTGTTTCTTAATTTCTAGTGCTGGAGGATATATTAATGGTACCTAATCAGAGAAGTTTTGATTGTTAATGAAAAAAAACATTATGTTTTGTCAATCTAATGGACAATTCTTTCGTCTTACATGCAAATGAGCCGGCAATGTACCGTTGTTTGTACGGAATTTTGTGAGGCTTAGGTATCCAATATAAACAAGGTAAGTCCTCCGATTTCCTGTTCAATGTAATGTTCAGTGAAGCCATGATGGACGTATAATTCGCCAAAATCTCATCTTGGTCAAATGATATGTTTTTGTATGTGGGAGTCCATTGTTGCAAAGGTCCCAAATTCCATGAGTTCCAGCATGTCATTGATGTATAAAATACCATGTGAAAGAGCCAACGGAACATAGTAATCATAACAGGGGGAAATGTAAGAAAGGAACCGTTTCTGATGTAAAAAATTCAGTATAATGATAAAAGTTTTCTAATCTTCTGTTTTCTTCCTTTAGGCTTTCCTGTTCGCATACGTTTTTGGCGCTCCAAACATTGTTCTAGTGTATATTCATTAAACTAACTAAAGCTTAGTATAGTCGAAAAAGACTTTTGCGCACGGAGGCATATATTGCGTTTCACGGTTTAAAATCAAGATATTGAGGTCTAAGTAGGACAACAATCAATTTCATTAACTATTTAGAATATACTGTATTGAAGAGAGAGAGAAGGAGATTCAAACTGATAAGTCAAAGACAAACTAACAACGTATGGCGAAAAATGACCAACAAAAACAAACAGTCAACAAAACACAACACAGAAAACTTATAGATGTACTTAGGTCAGGTTAGGAATTTTTGTGAAATGTTCGGACTCCTTGGGTTTTTCCTACGATACTGGGTAAAATGTTTTGCCCCATAACACCATTTTTTCTTTTCATATAAGACTTCAAAAGCTCATAAAAACGTCACTACCAAAATTTAAGAAGATTCTAGATTTTTTTGTTCTTACGATTTGAGACCAAAATAATGCCAATGCTAAATATAAGGTAAAAGTCCGAGTCAGCCTTTTCCCGCCATTTTTTTTTTTTTTTTTGAAAATCAAATATCTCAAAAAGGAGTTCCATAACATATCAATAGTTTAAGCTTATTTTTGTTCCTTAGGTTATACTCTTCTGACTTTTAGTATCAATTTTAAAATCTAGATTTTTTTTGTTTCACCTTAGTACATCCTTAAGAATGAGCAACATAGACCCGGCCACCAAAAACTGTAGCTACATCAATATCAATACAACTGACAAAATTATATAATGATATGTACTATATTACCTTTCGTGCATCAATCATGTAGCTTACAAAAAAAAAGAGATGTATCTGGACTTCAATGGTATATACAACAACAAAATAAAACATCATAACATAAAATATTGAATCTATTGTAAAATCTTATATGTCCACGAAAACACTTCATATACAATTCGCCATCTCAAACACCACCAATAGGTCGAAACATCTCAATAAGCGAACCAATCATTCAATAATACTGTTGAAACTATGTATTAACTGTGCCTTTGTTATATGTTCAATTTATAAAAAATAGTATATAAAATATCTCTGAGATAGTGTTACCGATTATTGTTTTCGACGAAAATGTTTTAAAGTAATACCAGTATACATTTAAAACAATAGTCAAAGTATTGTGTTTAGATTATCCAAAATCAGGTTCTTCATATGGACTTGGTACAACTTCCATAATTTTCTGTAGAAATCTAGTAACGGCGTCTGCAAATGCAAAATACATGTTATATGTTATTGAAACAACATACTTTGATACAAATGACTTCATATAATACAAAAAATGTAATTTGATCAATAAACAAAACATGTTATTCCAACCACATATCATGTTGTTTTCTCAAAATATTATCTCATAACCTTGAAATCTTAGTCGATTTGAACTACATTTTATTTACTAGAAATATATTTTTCTTTTGAATGTGTTTCACCTATTGCAAAGATTATGTATATGTTACAGTTAAATTGGTATTCCTTTATTTTGTTTCATTGGATCTTAGTCGTTACATCGAAGGGGCGAAATCCTTTATATAGCAGAACGAAGTATATCTTAACAGACCGGAATTCATTGCAAGATGTAAATTGAAATAAATGGAGAATGTGTCCATGGGACACAGATGATACCCCACATGCACATATAAAGTTATAAAGGTGCATAACTCAAGAACGATATAAGTAACGACACCAACTTCATACTTGATCTGTGTTTTCGGAAATAAGCATTGTATACAAGTTTCATAACATTTGGATGAGGCAAACTAAAGTTAGAGAACGGAAACTAATACGGACGTAGGGACGAACAGGAGTAACACTTAAAGCCCTCTCCGCTGCGGCGGGGGCATAAAAAACTAAAATGTTTCAAATGGCTATATGTTATATTTACATGATATATGTTCTGTCTATGAAATAAGCGTAAATTAACCAAGAATCGATGGCTTTTTGGTAAAGAACGAAACCTTTTCATTGTGATAATGGTAGCAAATAGATAGTACACTAGATATAAGATATCGGGTTTTTTTATTCTGATATTGGACCCGAGAGTATGGTCGGCAAAATATATCGTGAATCATACATTTAAAATAAAAATTTAAGTCATATGATACTTCAAATTTAATAAAAAAGGTGAATATGTTTTATATAATGGAATGGATAAGTTTTACTTTAAATCAATTGTACATGAACTTTCTTGTAACAGAAGTCCTTTAACATAATATTAAAATCTTTAGAAATGTTCTGCTATTGAATTATTGAATTCTTATTTATTATAATTTGCCGATGTTTCCGTGTGAAGCAACATTCAATAGGAGACCTCTCGTTTGAACTTCGACCACCGCAAACCCAGGTGCAGGGGAAAACCCTTGATGGAAGAATGTAAACAAAGAGGGACGAAAGATACCAGAGGGACAATCAAACTCATAGATAAAAAAAAACTGACAACGCCATGGCCAAAAATAAAAAGACAAACAGACAAATAATAGTACAGATGACACAACATAGAAAACTAAAGACTAAGCAACACGAACCCCACCAAAAACTGGGGTTGATCTCAGGTGCTCCGGAAGGGTAAGCAGATCCTGCTCTACATGTGGCATCCGTCGTGTTGCTTATGTTATTACAAATCCGGTAAATAGTCTAATTCGGTAAGTCACATTCGTGAAAAGGGAAGGGTATTGTAGTTACGACATAAGGAACATATCCGATATCATCTGTGAAACGGTTATTCCATAACGGTCAACCAACTCGTGATGGCGTCCGTAAAATTTACGAAGGGATGATTTCAACTTCACCATTTGGAACTCTTGGCTTAATAGCTTCCTTTTGAGCAGCAATCCTCTATCAAGGAAATCATGATAGGAAACACAAGCCCGGGAATATCGTATCAATTGGGAGATATATACTCCGTATGCAGGCGCTGCTGGAATGTTGCTACATAGAAATGGAAAGTTCACAATTGGGAAGCTGAAATCATCCCTTTTGTCGTAAAGTTTTGTTTTCAACCGACCCTCATTGTCAATTTCTAGATGTAAGTCAAGATATGAGGCAGACTTAACTGTATCTGTAGTATCCTTTATCTCTAGTTCGATGGGATAGATTCGTTCAACATAGTCACCAAATTTTGTATTATTTAGTGAGAGAACATCATCTATATAGCGGAACGTAGAGTTAAAGGATTATTGCTAACTTCTTATCTTTCTTCCTAAGAAGTTCTTGTATAAAGTCAGCCTCATAATAATAAAGAAACAAATCGGCAAGAAGAGGGGCACAATTGGTTCCCATTGGAATTCCGACAGTCTGTTGAAAAACACGTCCTCTAAATGTAACAAGTATGTTGTCAATCAAGAAATCAAGCATCTTGATAATGTCAGTTTCAGAGAATTTTTTGTTTGAATCAGAGTGATTCTTTACAAAGAAGGATTTATCCCTCCCCAAGACAAGATACTTGTATCTACGTTCGCCATTCTTTTTAATGAAACAAAGTAATACCAACTCTTTCAATTTGTCTTTTAGTTTGGAATGGGGAATACTTGTGAAAAGTGTAGAAAAGTCAAATGTTTTAATACCATTGCAAGATGAGAGAGTCTTAGATTGTATGTACTCTAAAAGATTTTTGGAATTTTTTAGTATCCACATCTGATTCACGCTACCTCTAGAATAGGCAGTTTCACAATAACTTTGGAGCCCGGCTTTGATTGCTGATAAAATAGTGCACTGGAAGGTAAAAGGTAATAATTGATTCGTACAGAACAAACAAGTGAAATTGCGAGCTACTGCTCACTGATGATACCCCCGCCCAAATATTTCTGTAAACAGGGAGTTGTTGAGTGATGAATATGAGAACGCATCACACGGTATAGCTGACTTATATAAACCCTGAAACCAAACTTCAGAAATCCTTATGATGTAGTTCCTGAGAAACATGCGACGAAAAATATTCATGGGACGGATGGACAGATTGACGGATGGATGGACGGACAGACAGAGGTAAAACAGTATACCACCACTTTTTATAAAGCGGGGGTATAATTAAATACACCAAATCATTTAACAACTGTTATAGAAAAGTTTGATTAACAAATGGGAAAGCATGGGTATTAAAAAAATAAAACATCGTTATATCAATTCAATTATTTTGCAGATGCTCTATAATTCTGTGTTGATTGTTTATGAATATCACTATCCGGTTAACTTTGGCAACCAACTTGAAAGTTAATTAGCTTGCGATCAACAATCACTGAATGAAATATTATTCTCGATAAAACGTTATAGATTCGTATTAAATGAGAAAGAAAAGAAAAGACATGCAAAGAGGGCTTAGTTTAGTATATATTTGCATGCATTGGTGTAATACTGTCCTCAACATTAAAATTACAGGAAACTCGTTTCAAATCGTGAATCTCATTATCTGAGGCGATGGTAATTTATCAAAATTTCTGTACGCATTAAAATAGTCAACGTGTGTTTAAATTTTGAGTTTTGAACACCGTAAATTCCTAACCATTGAATATAAATATAAGTTTTATCGGAAAAACAAATCAATTATATAAATCCAAAAGCGAAAAGAAAGCGGCTCCATATCTTTAGAAAAATCTTACCGAAACGTCCTGTCATCAATTGAAAATGAACCAAGGGGATATAAAACAGCAATCCTCCAACCATGAAAAGGAACGCGTACAGGAATTCTAACCGTGGATCCTGTACTATTGGTGCTACTACCAAGTATAAAGAGCAGGCAAGGAAAATTACAGGTAACAAAATGAAAATCTGAAATAAACAAGGTTAATGTGACTTTCATCATTACTGAATACTAACATCAAAACAATTAAAAGTAATACGGTCGTTATTGTGGTATACATATTTCAGGACGTCGGGATAAAGTTTTTATTTTTGCTTGAATTCTGGATTATCACTTATTGGGACTCGGAAATTTCAGATTGATATATCGAAATACGAGAAAGATTTTTTTTTTTTGGGGGGGGGGGGGGGGGTGACACCCCTTATATCTCGCCTAATTATGTTTAACCATAAATATTAAGAGATTTATTAAAAGAATAGGCGTGAATCAGAAAGTCAGATTTTCATTGATCTTATAATAAATGAAATACTTTATTGGTGTATTATCATAAACATGATGAAATTGAAATGCTAAAACAATGCGATTGAAAACTTATCTGCTTTTAATCAGAATGTTGTTTGGAAAAAAAAATACCTTGATAGGCCGGTGTGCATCTGGTAGTCTCCATCGTAAGATAAATAAGCTAATTATTGCCAGTGCGTAGAACATCCAGGAGGCAAAGCTGAAAAAGTCTATCAAGCTTCCAATGTCACCGGGAATCAGCATAAGTAGTGCAACCAAAGACTACAATGTAAACAGAGCTATCGATAAAAATGCTATGCAAAATAAATTTAGTTCATAAAATTAATGTACATTTTGTACTCATTCATTTTATTAAGTAGTCTTCGAGTTGTCGCTAAATTAATTTTTTCTAAAAATTAACCGTTCCTCGAAATTACGTAACATTTAAATATTTCGTTGAAACATTATGGATACACAAACTTATAAATAAATACATGAAGCCAAGCATATCGAGAATAACGGGTCATTCCGGATATCAAGGGAGATATTTTGACAATTTGAACAAATTAAGTGAAACAAGCTTACTGTAAATATTAGGCATGGTATAGGTGTGTATCGTTTACAGTTGACATATGACAACACTTCTGGAAACTGATCATCACGTGCAGCTGCATACAATGTTCTGAAAAAGATTGATTGATTGATTGATTGGTGTTAAACACAACTTTCAGCACTGTTTCGCTTTTTCGAGGCGTCAGTTTTTATTGTTGGAGTAAGCCGGAGTGCCCGGAGAGAACCACGGACCTTTGGTAAGAAAACTTGACAACCCTAGTCAATTAAGATTGAAGTTTAGATATTTATACTAATGTTATTTATAATTAATTTTACTGAATATTCTCCCTGGATATTCAGTGGTAAATTTAACAGGGATACTTGATGGAATGCTGTACACCAAGTTTTATTGTTAAACGGCAATATGTGCAATAAAGAATCAATTTGAGTGTTCAAAAAAAAGATTGAAGTTTAGCGCACCTGCCACGTGTGGGTTTCGAACTCACAACCTCAGGGTTGACAGGCTACTGATACAGTAGTTCGACTACCGAGACCACTCGGTCAACGAGGTCCTTTCTGAGATAGAAAAAAAGGCTGAAATCCTCAGTACTAATGATTATGACCATTTTAAGTGAACTGCAATAAGTAACAGGATATTTCATTGTTTCAAACTTTAATGATATTAAAATGGTTAATTTAAAAAAATTTCAGTAACAAACACAATCTATATTACTAAATGAAGAGACCGATTTCATTGAGCCTCAACTCCTCTAAAACCATTCAAAGTCGGAAATATTTGTGATATGACGTATAAATGAAGTGTTTTGTACTTCCTAAATTTGTCTTTGAAACAATCTTTTTTCCACAGAAAAGTCGAATTTTTGAGAAAATATCCAAATTCGGAGACCTTTATCGATCCGTGTCTTTATACGCTTTCGCGCATGTTCAGTCGACGTACTGCCGACTTTATTTTCATCCGATTTAGATGGGATTTTTTCTATTGTGTTACTCATTTTGATACCTTTCGGTAATGTCAACGTATTTTACGTAGCTCATACGGTTATTGAGTTAAAACGATAAAAAAAACTACTGAAAATCACAATTTGCCACACTTTTCTTAAGATATTAAATATTTTTATTTTCCAACCGAGATGAATGGGTCTTTTGCATTATGTTCCTCATTTTCATCTCTTTAAAGAAATAGAATTAAATGCATTAACTGTGTCCAAATCCTTACAGTGTCCACCTTATTACTGTGTCCACACTCTTTGTTTCCACACTTTCCCAATTGTACCGCGATTTCGCGGGCATCTTCTAGTATATATAATATACGGAAAGCGTAAAAAACAAAATTCGAAAAAAAACTCTGAAATAAAATAAAATGTTCCTAAAATTAAAAAAATATATATATCAATTGAACTAGCACAGCGTCCTTTTGTACCAAACAATGATCAAAATTCCCATCATAGCAATGTGGCAGGATAATGCATGTAATATTTATTTGTGGACGTTCCAGATTTTTAGTTACATTGTGTGCTAGTGACTAATACGATATATATGGGGTCAGTAAATTCCATATGGGATGAGAGCGATCATCGAATCCCCATATGGAATTTACTGACCCCATATATATCGTATTAGGTCATTAGCACACTGTGTAACGAATTTATCTTACCGACTATCTTAACATATGTGGTATTTAGACTAGTGGCCTATCAAAGTGATTTAAAAGTCTTCAATACTTAGTATTAAGAACCTACTTCCATTGGTCTATACACAAACGATTGCCAACAATAACAACTTGTTAGATTTAAGTGTGTTTTATGAATTTAATTCAATCGTTCATCATCATGTTTTTCTTTTGTTGAAACTTTTCAGATTTTTCCTCTACGCGTGTTGTTTTTATATAGGGACGTAACACCTCTACTAACCGTGAATTGAAAAAAGCCCCGCCCACTAAACCTAATATGAAATATACACGATCTCCACGCGGTTGCTTTTAACCAATCATATTCCTAGAAATGTATAGGAGGTAAGATAATAATTCATCTACCAATTGAAAATGTAGATAAATTGATTGTAATTTGAAATATGTAGTGAAATGTTACCAAGACGTTGATATTGTCCTGCTGTGACACGCATTCTGAGTTTGAAAATCCAGTTGCATGACTGTATCATTACCTTACACCTGCAAATAATGCACCGTTGGCTGCACCAAACGTTGAACACATCACAAAAATGGGCATTATTACACCGGCTGCACCAAGTACATCATCTCCCCAAGTCTGTCAATAAAATATAGAGTTACAGACATATTAGATAAAATTATAAATGTATAGTATTGTTGAAACAAAAACCCTAATTTAATTGTGAAAAGTCAAAACCCAAGAAAACAGCTCAAAATTGAATCAAATATAACAAACAAGGAAGGGGAAAAGCAACTTACAAATTACTGACTAATCTAGACAGAAGACATAGAAAAATAATTCATAGTTCAATACGAACAATAAAACAGTGTTCCGGACGGGTAGACATATCCAGCATTGCATCAAACTCCGAAACAGTGGTAACGTCCTCCTTGCTACGCTACGTTGACTTTAGTGATATTTTACCCAAGCAACGTCACCACTGTTTCGGAGTTTGGCATTGCATATGACCACCAGTTTTGTCATGTGCTTTAAAGGGGCACTAGCTACGAGATATGAAAAAAAAATAGAATGTGATTTTGTTTGGTTCAATCATTAATAAAAATGAAATAATGAAATAATAATTCGCTTTTAGCAGGCAATTTGGTTCAATTTTGTCTAAATGAGCAAAGAAACACCCCTGGTGAATTATTCACTTGCAAGTGAATAATTCGACCTCATTGAATCCGTATTCATGTGACCTTCAATTTAACCCATTAACTATAGATTGGTTATGCATGAATTAGTCGTGTTCAGCCATTAAAAGGAAAAGAATGTCAACATTGAAAGTGAAACAAAGGTGAACCATTTAATTGACTGACTCGATCCACAAAAAAAAACCATTCCTATACAGACAAAAACGATAATTATCTTTTGATTTTATCCTATAACATGAAATCAAACAGACCTAGAAAAATCTAATTGCACGAGGTCGCCGATCTATTTATATTCATGTTTATGTTTATATCAGGTTAAGTGATTATCGGCAGATTACGTAGGTCATCTCGATAGTTAATTAGATGGCGTCTACACTGAAATACACACGAAATTCTGATATATATTATCGAGCACATGTATTGTTAACTGTTAATTTCAGGCTAAATGTAATTTGGATATACGTTTTAGTATGTTATAAATCAAATATGAGAATTTGAGTCAAATCGGTGATCATGAATTTGACAGCTAGTGCCCCTTTAAGACAAACGAATAAATGTAACAAGAAACCATTATGAATCAACGTTTTTTCAGCGTTTAAATTTATAAGTTTAATAATGCATTAAACTTCCAAACACAATCCAAAACATAGGTTCATTTACTACTATATTTTAAGAAAATCTGTACAAACAATCCTCTATGGAATATGTTGGCTATTTATTTTCATAGTCCTCGCGTGTTACATGCAATGAACAAAAGTAGTAGGTCGTAGACGGTTTTTAGACGACAATGGTCGGGACTGTGATTTCAGTTATCTATATATATATATGATTAATCCTTGTATGTTTTGTTGACTTTCAGACCGAAATATGATTCACTCAAACTTCTGGAAAAGCAAGCTTTTTAAGGGATCTTGCACATGAAGAATACAATCATTAATTTATACTGTATATTACTAAGTCCAAGTTCACACCTGATCAATCCAGATAATTGCGACTACGTATTTTTACAATAAAAACAGCCAATCAGGTTCACTTTAACGAAAGTGTTGGAAGTGATCTTTAACGTGCAACAAACTTAACATACAACACACATGTAATGTTCATATCGCATCAAATAATCTTAAGAGGACTACGCTGCGTTGTTGGAAGTTTCGCACTGCCAATCGTTGACAAAGATTTTTATAATGAGAATTGTCTTAAACGTTTAGAATGTTATTACAAGAAGAGAGGCCAAAGATGCCAACGCGATATTTAACTCATTAGTCAAAAATCAAACTGACAATGCCATGCAAAAAAATAATAGATAAACAACGAAAAGACAAACAAAACAACATGAAAACTAAAGACTGAGCAACATGAACCCAAACACACACCGGGGAGATATGAGTTCAGCAATAATACTTCTTTTAATTTTGAAAGTTTTATGTGTAGATATAAAAAAGAAGATGTGGAATGATTGCCAATGAGACAACTCTTCACAAGAGACCAAATGATACAGAAATTAACAACTATAGGTCACCGTACGGCCTTCAACTATGAGCAAAGCCCATACCGCATAGTCAGCTATGAAGGGCCCCGAAATGACAAATGTAAAACAATTCAAACAAGAAAATTAACGACCTTATTTATGTACAAAATAATGAACGAAAAACAAATATGTAATACAGCAACAAACGACAACCACTGAATTACAGGTTCTTGTCTTGGGACAGGCACATGCAGAATGTGACGGGGTTAAACAGGTTAGTCGGTGCCCAACCCTCCACTTAATCCTGAGACAGTGTTGCAACAGAACAATACAAGAACTGTACAAAACAATAAACAAACAACGTATATGATCAACAGCAACAAACAACAACCACTAAATTACAGGCTCCTGACTTGTGACAGTCACATATAGAATGTGGCGGGGTTAAACATATTAGCGGGCGCCCATTTTACTTATATATTATTCACAAGCTATGTTAATTACAAAAACATGATTATGGTATGTCTATTACTGGTAACAGTATCATGTTAACATAACGCCTCATTTCTGAATAATTGATAAAATTAAAGAAACTCCTGTTGTACAAATCTTGATACTCCAGTATTGATAGATTACTTTTTTTCCAAATAGTGCAGTTTAATAGAAAAAGAAAAAACGATTCGCGGGACACACCAAAGAAGAAGGTCCGGTAAGGGCTAGTTTTGGCCTAATATTCGAAGTACATCTAATGAAAGCTGTTTGACATTTTTTAAACACTTAAGTGTCTACTGCAGTCGATTCAATTAGTTTATGTAAAATATTTGAACATATTTGGTCATTAGAGAAGCTCAAATTCACGCTTAAATATGCAAAATCTATCAAATATGCCATAAAACGTCATTTGTCAGGTGGTTTTGGGGTAAAATGGAAGTGGCCGCATTTGTGTTCAGTCTCAACCTTTATTCATGTTATGTATTATCATCAAATACAACATATACTTATATATTAAGACTGAACACAAATGCGGCAACTTCCATTTTAGACAAAAACCGACTTAAAATTAGCACAAAGATTTCAGTAATATTGCACGAATATATGATGCTATTACCTGCTGCATGTGCATTATATTGTCAAAAACAGTCCATATTCATGGAAAAGAAGTATTCTACTTTCCAATAAATAGCTAAAAGTAAACATTTTAACATATTGGTAAAAATGCTATATTTTGGGGCCAAAAAGGGGTCTTACTGGGCCTACTCCTTTGAAATTTGATTTTTATAAATATTAATATACATACAACTGCAACAGCGTCACTATCGAGTAGACCGTCTATTCCAAGTACAACCAAATACGATATATTAGTCAAAATGTACAGTATTGTTACTAACAGCACACCAATTACATTCGCTCGTGGTAAATTTCTGCAAAGTTAAAACGTAAATTCAAAATAAAAATGTGAATACAAAATTACATGTATATAAGTGTAATTTTAGTATTAAGATTTCTCTACAATTACACTAAGTCTTGTGAGATTAAAGTACTTTTTCAGTTCAATCAGTGACATAACCCAAAATGTTACATTTTCAGGGCGTGATAAAATCAGTTAAAAACAAAAGCAAAATACACAAACTCTGTCAACTGTATTTTAAGTGAAATAACACAAGGTTTTAAAAAATTATTATAAAACACACAATAAAAGTTCGTTCAATATCAAAGAAAAAAAACGTACAAACAAAAAACAAAAAACAAAAAGTTCCGAACTTTTTTGTGTTTTTATAGTGCACAGTAAGATTAGTTACAAAATTCAACAATTTGAGTCTACAAAACAATCATATTAGGTATTATATGCAGTACTTATCAGAAAATGATCTTAGTTACTTAAATTGCTCATAACATAGTTATTCGAGAGACAGCCACTAATTAAACTTACACGTAAGGATTTTTCAATTCCTCTGAAACATAATTCAATGTATTCCTGGAAAAAAGAGAGAAAAGATATTCGTAAAACACATAAAGGCAACGCATGTGAATATTCTAAAAATTGTATATCAATGCGTTGTGCAAACAGGCACTTGTCTTTAAAAAAAAAGATAAAACACGCCCATTGACTTAATATTAAATGTACACGGTGCCAACGTGTTCGCTTTTAATCAATGGTATTCCCAGAAGTGTATAGGATGTAAGATAATAAGGCATATAGGTAAACATTTTTTCAGAGACAAGTGTCTGTGGTAGTGCAATAACTATTATTAGTTCAGGTACATGGAATTTAAAAATCATACAACCCTTAATTAGATATAAGAAGATGTGGTATGAGTGCCAATAAGACAACTCTCCATCCAAGTCAAAGTACGGTCTTCAACACGGAGCCTTGGCTCACACCGAACAGCAAGCTATAAAGGGCCCCAAAACTTACTAGTGTAAAACCATTCAAACGGGAAAACCAACGGTCTAATCTATATAAAAACGAGAAAAGAGAAACACTTATGAACCACATCAACAAACGACAACTACTGAACATCAGATTCCTGACTTAGGACAGGTGCAAACAATTGCAGCGGGTTTAAACGTTTTAATGGTACCAAACCTTCACCTTTATCTGAAACAATATTGTAACATCACAACATAGAAAGACACACTATATATATTATAAAACATCAATTGAAATTGCTTAACCCAATCAAAAGACATATTAACACAAGTGAACATACACTAAACGAATAAATTTGATCTATGATACAATGTAAATACAAAATCAATAAAACAAGGGATGAATAATTAAAGTAACAGTATTATACCGCTGTGAAATGTTAAACAATTTCAGAAAAACAACAATAACCTTAAACAAACATCCGCCATTTACAATAATATTATACACAGGTATTAAATGAAAATAACTTTGTTGTTAGGTATACAGTTTAAAAGGAGAAAGGACATATTTTTACTTAAGACTGTTTCTATCTCATACATTTCTTAAAAAGATAAAAGTATAGGCTGATTGTGATATTATTGTTGCTAAGTATCTCGAGCTCTCGTTATCAAATCTGAATGTTCTACAGTTGTAGGGATTCTTCAAGTTCGAGCATGTCCGTGTGATTCAAAATTTCATATTGCATTGCAGGTGTGAAAAAGGTAGTTTCTCTCTAAGTCAATATGGGCTGCATTGTTCATGCATCAATCATATCCTTTATTCTAGTTGATGGTCATTGTACATCGGTTCGATTCCTAAATAACGTCCAACTTGTAAATCATGTTAAATGGAAGAAATGCCAATATATAAATATTGAAACGCAAAAAACACAACAAAAAACAGCCTGAACACCAGAAGACAACAAAATTACGCTAGAAGATACAAAAAACCCACTAGTGGAAACCGCAAACAAATTTGAAATAACTTAAACAACTTGAATTGTCAAACTTACCATCCATCATACGCCCATAGTGCGTCATAAAATGCCAAAGCAACACCTGATGCAGTGCCGATAGTCCCATCAAAACCAGATTTCATTGTAGCTGTATTGCCTGAATATGGTAAAAATAGGTTACATATCATGAAAACCAATGAAATGTATCAATTTAATGTGTTTAAGCTCAAACACAAGTTTTTATTAATCTGTTAAAATTGTCTACATGTTTTTTTTTAAATTTTGACTGTTCTTGTATTTTTATACTGCTGTGTGCATAATATAATTTTATGCGGACACGTCACATGTAATCTTGCTAATATATAGCTTGTAACAAAATAATGAGTTAAGCCATTTTCAATGATTTTTACAGTTTGTTCTTGTTACGGGAGGATTGATGCCTTGAAACATATTTAACTCGCCACATTCTGTATGTTTCTGTCCCAAGTCAGGCGGTCGTAGTTCAAAAGTTGTCGTTGGCTCATGTCTGTCATATTTATTTTTCGTAAAATGTTGTGTTATAAATTATGCCGTTAATTTTCATAATTAAATTGTTTCATATTTTTCATGTCCTGTCCTTTTATAGCGGACTATACGGTACGGGGTTTCCGCATTGTTGAAGGCTGTACGATAGCCTATAATTGCTTACATCCACTTCATTTGAATTTTTGTGGATAGTTGTCTCATTTGAATCACACCACACCACCTTATTTTTATATCGTGTATTTCTCTTTACACATTTGATATTAGTTATGCAATTAACGCCACACTATGTATATCCTGCTATCAGCCAACCATTGTACACAAATAATTTTGCTTTATTTGTACTTGTACAAATAAAGTCTCTTTTTACTCCGCTTCCTTAACGGTAATGTAAATATTTCTTTTTGTGTGCAAGTTCATTTTGTGGGTCCTCTTCGTGGTCCGCGTTTAAACTATGTCGATTTCTTTGAAAAATCAGAGACAACTATTTGGATTTTAACAGTTAAACCTTACATATATAGCCGGGTGTAAGTTGCCGGGTATATGTACATTGTTGGAAATATAAAATGTATTTGCATACTCGATACGAAACAGTAGAACAGCTCGGTGAGTCTAGCTTTTCGTCCTGTTTCTAAAGGTCGTACTGTAACAATTTTTTTTTTTATATTTTCCGACAATTTACATATAATATATTATAATAAAACACCTCTCACTATGAACCACAAAATATACCGTAAAGAACTGTTCGACTGATTCATACATGTAGTTTACGAAGTCCAATGGTAAATATTCCCAAAACCTTTTAAAAAGGCAACCATTGTCTATAACACTATTTAACAGTTTATAAATTGTGTTTTTTTCTTAATAGAAGTTAGGGGTTTGGGGAGTTGATTGATTAATCCAAAAGATCAGATTATATTAAAGAATAACTTAGCTATCATAAAAGTAACAAATAAAAGAAAACGAATACTTGAAACATCAAGACTATACTATGATTTAAAATGATCAAATACCTTGTCCAAGTCTAACAAGACCTCCTACGATGATGATTACCAGTGCTAACAACTTAGCTGCTGTAAAGAACACTTGGACGCTGGCTCCAGCTCTCGTATCATAACAATTTATGATAGTCAAAGTCACTAATCAAACAGAAAAACGGTATAATTATGTTTATAATAAACGAATTACTCGTTTAATTCCATCACAACTTTTGAAATTCATTTGCACTTTTTTATATTGCTTCTTTTTAAAACGCTAAGATATATGAGCGGGGATGAAAAAAGTACCCTTCGTTCATCAAAATACTTTTATCTCAAAACAAATAAAGTTTACCTCAATAACTTCTCAACGGACTAGATCAATAATAGTTATCTGATTTTAACACACAAGTAACCCGATGACCAAATAAATATTCACATGGTGTTTGATAATGAATGATAAGTCATTTCGTGTTTACATTTTTGGTTTGGTTTGGTTGTGTGTTTGTTATATAGTGTACTGTTGAATAGACTCAATTGAATTTTTTACTATTCATTTTCAACAAACATACCGATGGCTAATGCTGCAATCACTTTCAGGGGAACTTGAGGTTCTCCACAGTACGGGAAAAATGTTACGCAGTACGACGCAAACGTCATTGAAATCACAGCTACACTAGATGGTGTTAATACGATAATTTTTGTCCAAGCAAACATGAAAGCCATCAGACGACCCATAGCAGCGTCAATGTAAGCATATTCTCCTCCTGACTTCTTTACCACACATCCGATTTCAGCATACGACAACGAACCTTAAAAGATACCAAAACACAATAAAGTCATGCGATTCAAATTCTATTTTTAGATGTCTTCTCTGTCCATGTGTTTGTTTGTGTGTGTATGTGTTGATGTCTCATTGGCGTGTTCCCAGTTTCTAAATATCTACAGATTAAGCTATACCCCACCTTTGGTTTGCCATGGCGTTGTCAGTTTACTATTATTTTCGACTTGTGAGTTTGAATGTCCCTTTGGTATCTTTCGCCTCTCTTTTCTAAATTCATATTTAAAGATAAAGTATAAATAACAACCATAATATTTTTATAAATCTGTATATTTTGTATGTATGTTTTTGACTGATGAAACAAATATGGATCAGCATAGACCCCTTGTTTATTAATATGTTCGGAATTTTGCAGATTCAAGTGGAAAGGGTTGGTTGATTGACAGTTTCTTCGGTAGTGGCAAATTATAAAAAAAAAAACTTATTCAGGGCAATCTTGTTTGTACTTTTTTTGTGCGTTATCGATAAAACTTTATTCCAGACGTACGTATTGAGTCAACTGAAACTTATACCAAATGTTTATTTTTCCAATCTTATATTATATATGTTAAGAATCGATCAAATATATATATAATTAAAAACCAATTGTTCAAAAAACAATTGAAGGTCTTTCCACATCAATTTTCTAAATAATTGATGAGAAGCTAATTCTGATTTACTCAAAGCTACTATTGGCGTCCAATCATAGGTTTCTTCTTACTTATTCAATAAACATATGGTTTCTATAGACTTTTGCCTAAAATAAGGGAGACAATTGTCAACATCCAGTTTAGACAATGTCACTTCCGGTCTCATATGATAGTTTTATTTACACTGATTCCAAAAATATATGGTTTATATATACTTTTGCCTGTAAAAAGGGAGATAATTGGCTACTTCCGGTTTAGAAAATGTCACTTCCGGTCTCATATGATAGATTTATTTACACTGATTCCAAAAATATATGGTTTATATATACTTTTGCCTGTAAAAAGGGAGATAATTGGCTACTTCCGGTTTAGAAAATGTCACTTCCGGTCTCATATGATAGATTTATTTACACTGATTCCAAAAATATGTGGTTTATATATACTTATGCCTGTAATAAGGGAGATAATATGCTACTTCCGGTTTATAAAATATCACTTCCTGTCTCAAATGATAGATTAATGTATGACCATTCAAAAAATATATGGTTTCTATGTACTTCTACATGAAATAAGTGCAAAAATAACTACTTCCGGTTCACTCAAGGTCACTTCCGGTTGACATTTTTCAAGGTCATATGTCACCCAACATTTTGCAAAAGATCTTATGGCTTTATCATGTACCAATATGAAGTAATAATCAATTTACCTTAAAATAAAACATTTCGGGGGCAATAACTCCAATAAGATGTCGCTGGATTGTCTCAGACCAAATGTATCATATCTTCATCACAATATAACAAACATTTTGCACTTGTTCTTTAATATATAACATTAAAAATATCGGAGAAAATGCAAAAACAAGCAAAAGACAAAATTCAGAACATGACCTTGACCTTTGACCTTGACCTCATTTTCGAAGTTAGGATCCAAGGACCTTAAATAAAAAGACTATAGGTTTATACGGCTTACAGTTTATGAGTAACAAAAACATAACGACAAATTTATTTGATAAAGGTAGATAACTCCTATAAAATTTCATCGAATCGCTTCGATCCAAATTAGCCAAAAATTCCTGAGGATGTAACGAACAATTTAGAAAAAGAATTTTGTCGATATCTTTTTTTGTTACAGAAAAGTGGAAAGACCTAATAATTTATATTTTTATGACATTGACCTAATATTGTTTTTATTCTTCAACTCAAATTAATACATTGATAGCTATTTAAATTGTAACACAAATTTCAAACATATTTTCATCCCTTAATGAACCACTGATTGTGGAAAATGTGTTCTATGACGAAATTGACATTGCACAAAATATAGCTGTGTTACTATATTTAGGAAATAAACACAACTAGTTGCAGTATAAACCATGATCACACGTGTATCTCCAAATTAAGGTATTTTTCCGATATGATAATCAAAAGAGTAAATTCCTTGATAAAACAGGAAGTGTATCAGCTGATATATAATTGGACGTAGCATATACGCCTATGAAGCAACATGTATTCCTACTCAGTATCTTTAAGACAACAATGAAATGAAAGACAAAAGCATAACAGAATGATTCCTATCAGGCTTACTTTTGCCGTCATTGCAAGAAGTAGCAGCTCTAAGGAAGACGACCATCATACTCAGACATCGTAAAAAAACTATTTAAACTCACAAATACTATTTGCTTGATGAAGAAGCAGTAAAAAAAACAATTTCACGCAGGCATTGTCTGAACCAACGGCCTTACTCGTATTTACCTAAAAGAGACAGGATTCCTGCAGATCCCCATACTATAAGGCTTAATCCTACAGATCCTGTTTCTTGCAATACTCCTTTTGGTGATATAAATATTCCTGAACCTGAAAGTGTATAACGTAAAAACAATGTACGAGTTCATCAATTCCAAAATACTATTAGTTATCTTTGTGTAATCAGAGGAGACGGATTTATATATAGAGCACTGCTCTTTTTTTCCCAAATCGCACTTATCGAATTACTTTTTGTATTTATGTATTTATTCTTGTAGCTATACATAGCAAATTATTTAATAAAACATGTTTAGTTTCTCGTTTGAATTGTTTTACATTGTCATTTCGGAGCCTTTTATAGCTGACCGTGCGGTATGGGCTTTGCTCATTGTTGAAGGCCGTACGGTGACCTATAGTTGTTAATTTCTGTGTCATTTGGTCTCTTGTGGAGAGTTGTCTCATTGGCAATCATACCACATCTTCTTTTTATATTTACACTAATCAGGGATGTATGGGATGATTAAGACCGGTAAAAGATTACTTTGTTTATTTATTTTTGGCACAAATGTTTTGTATTTTTTTTTGGTAACAAGATGTTTAAGACCGGTATAAAATTACATTTTTTTTTTATATTTGGCACAATTATTACGTTTTGTATTTTGGCTAAAAAAATATTTTTTTTGTAATTTAGGCAAAATTTTTATTTTAAAAATTTTAGTAAAATTCTATTTGGTGTAAATAGTTGAACTGGAGTGGGGTGTTATTAACATCAGTCAGATTTTAAAAAAAATCTTTCTTCTTAAGAAATAAGCATTTATATAAGAAATATAAACGTAACCATCAATGCAAACGCATATAAATGCATAACATGTATGTAATCAAATTTTCAATTATGGACCCTAAACTTTAAATAAAATGACATTTCGGTTTAAAAGTAAATAAGACAGAAACCAAACAATATCATTCGGAACAAAATATAATATAGATCACGTTGCTGTAATAAATAGTTGTGGCGTTTTTGGGCTATTGCTGTCATAGTTGAATTGGTCTGAATCTGCGAATTTATCTGAAGCTAGAGCCATTATGGCATATACATTTTTAAGTACATTCGCAGAAAACAAATAAAAAACACAAAGTTTAACATGATATAAAATCTTGAAAGTTAGGCTTGGTTTATCGTCCAAGTACTAGAAACTGTATCTTTATTGATAAAAACCCGTCGTGATTGAGCGTTCATTTCCTACCAACGGACCTATACTGGGAATGAGCACCATGGCAGGATAATGATGCTCACCCTTCCGGAGTTCCGGAGTGATTAATCTTGTCTTTCTGTCTCATTTTTCTTCTTTTTTTTTTGTCACTGATTATATTAAACTGTCATCAACTTATGATTTCAATGCCCCACCCCCTTGAAACTTCAGATTTTTTTATGGAAGATATTGCCATTTAGAAATAAAAGGTGGCTAACCTATCACACTCCCAACAATAAAAGAGATTCCGCTTATTATCCCAACGCTTTTCTTTAACTTTGCTGTATCTTCTACTATGACGACTCTAGGTTCATCTGTGGCATTCCCATTGATTGGTCTCTTTCGTAATTCAACGTCATCATCTGTATGAAAAGGACAACATAAATTATAATAATTTTAAAGACGAAAATAGTTTAAATTGGTTTACTAGTTCATCTTATGTAGTTAATTAAAGGCATGAACTTCAAAAGGAGCAAGACCGATAGTATGGAACGCCATGACTGTCTTCTGATGTTGACTGTTAAATATGTTCGGTGCTTTATGCATTACGTTCAGTAGTATTTATATTTTGTTCAGTAGTTTTCATATTATGCTCAGTAGTTTTCACATTATGTTCAGTAGATTTGACATTATGTTCGGTGCTTTGGTTATTATGTTCAGTAGTTTCATTATTATATGCAGTGGTATTTAAATTATGTTCGGTACTTCTGACGTTATATTCAGTGCATTTTTCATTATGTTCAGTACCATCAACATTATGTTCAGTAGATTCAATATTATTTGCAGTACATTATGTATTACCTTCAGTGGTCCCGGTTTCTTTATATTCGGTAGATTATTCATTATGTTCAGTAAAAGCATCAGTATTATACTCGGTTCAATGAACTATATGTGCAGTAGTTGTTTCATTATGATGATGCAGTGAAAGTCGGGAAATCAATAACGGAAATTTTCAGAAAAAAACGAACGCGGATATTTTCGACGGACGTTTTCTTTATGGACACTTTAACGGGATCAGGAATGAAAATGGAAGAAATGGAAGCAGTATTAAATTGGTTTGGTTTACGTTGACACGTATGCAATTTTCACAAGGAAAAAAAATACTCCTGACTTAATTTGTAAAATGTCATGATTGATTGATTGTTTGTTGTTTTCTGAACGTACAGTGGCAAATATTTCACGCATATTTATGACGGAGAGAAGAATTTTTAAACAAGAAATAAGAAGTTGCATGTGTTGTCGTTGATACACCATGACCATAGAGAGACGACAAAAAGACAAACAGCAAAAAAAATAAAATATAAAAATATATTATATAGCTTTTGTATTCCTAGTAGGTAATCCTTTTTGTTGGTTGGTTGTAGCGTATTTATCTCATGCACCGACTTTTAAGAGACCATGAAAAATCTCCTTGGAGATACTCCAATAGTATTCTGCATCCTACCCCGCTAATAGGCGCTTAAATATCAGATATTTATTTGAAATAACCCAAGATAAATGAGGTTGTGGATGAGGTTTACAGAATAGAGAAAGTTGATTCATAAATATGACCATATCAATGATAATTCATGGTAACACGGATTAGCCTTGAACCTGTATCTGGATATAGTCAATCTATTCCTCTTCATTCTGGTTATCTTTGGTGGATCTAGAGACTAAATCTAGAAATATGTTTTTAAACGCTCTGTTCAAGAACAGATATTAAGTTATTGGTTTGGGTAGTTTCTAGTCTCTTATTAAACAAAAGGGGTCATGTTTTATGCATTACTTTAAAATAATAAGAACCATAACTGAACAGAAATGGTGAAAATTTGCACACAATTAAAGTTTTGCACTTTGTAATTTGATATTCATTACCTGTCTAATAGACAGTCTATGGTAATCATATTTACACTTAGACCTAGTTAGTTTTTGTGTATACAGCTTGAATTTGGAAGATCTTAATAAATGATTTTAAAATGACAATCATACTGATACTTAATGTTCATTGTTAAATGTAGCACTTTGTACAATATTTCATTCTATACCCTTGCATACCAGCATAAATTTCAATGTAGCTCTTTGAATGTATGAAATTTATGACTAGTTGTTTTCTGGTTTTTCTGCTGTTGCAGAGCTTTTTGCTGTCATTTTTGTCTGAACTCTATCACGAACTGTTTTATCATTGTTGTAATAATTTCTGACACAATGCAGGAGAGGAATGTAAGATTATCCTTGTATGCGATAGTGGACGAAATAGTACGTCAAGATTTGTTAACTCGTGCAGGATCGTGATTTTCGAGGAAAATATCGAATGTACATAATTTGCATGGTAACATCAATTAACCAGTTCTGATTACGACCAGTTCAACATTTCATTCCATATCAATAATAAATTCGGTATGCAGAAAAAGTTTAGTTATTCTGTTAATCATTTAATTCTGTAATCATTTTTTTTTTTTACCTTTTTCCAAAGTTTTAAACATTTTTTTAAAGCACCCTTTTATTCTCTATTCTTTATTTTTTGCCCACCTTTTTTTTTTTTGGGAGGGGGGGGGGGGGGGGGGTGGGTATGGACATTATTCATTCCACAACCTCATATACCTTGGGTTATTTCAAATAAATATCTGATATTTAAGCGCCTATTAGCGGGGTAGGATGCAGAATACAATAAGAATATCCAGAAGGAGATTTTTGGTGGTCTCTTAAAAGTCGGTAAGTCGGTGCATGAGATTAATATGCTACAACCAACCAACAAAAAGGGTTACCTTCTAGGAATACAAAAGCTATAGAATATGTTTTTATATTTTTTTGCTGTTTGTCTTTTTGTCGTCTCTCTATGGTCAAGGTGTATCAACGACACTTTTTTGCTGTTTGTCTTTTTGTCGTCTATCTATGGTCATGGTGTATCAACGACAACGCATGCAACTTCTTATTTTTTGTTTAAAAATTCTTCTCTCCGTCATAAATATGCGTGAAATATTTGCCACTATACGTTCAGAAAACAACAATCAATCAATCATGACATCATACAAATTAAGTCAGGAGTAATTTTTTCCTTGTGATTGTGAAAATTGCCAACGTGGGAACGTAAACCAAACCAATTTAATACTACTTCCATTTCTTCCATTTTCGTTCCATCCCGTAAAAGTGTCCATGAAGAAAACGTCCGTCAAAAATGTCCGCGTTCGTTTTTTTCCGACAATTTCCGTTATTGATTCCCCAAGTTTTACTGCATCATCATAATGATACAACTACTGAACATATAGTTCATTGATCCGAGTGTAATACTGATGCTTTTACTGAACATAATGAATAATCTACCGAATATAAAGAAACCGGGACCACTGAAGGTAATACATAATGTACTGCAAATAATATTGAATCTACTGAACATAATGTCGAAGGTACTGAACATAATGAAAAATGCACTCAATATAACGTCAGAAGTACCGAACATAATTAAAATACCACTGCATATAATAATGAAACTACTGAACATAATAACCAAAGCACCGAACATAATGTCAAATCTACTGAACATAATGTCAAAACTACTGAACAGAATATGAAAACTGCTGAACATAATATAAATACTACTGAACATAATACATAAAGCACCGAACATATTAAACTATCAACATCAGGAGACAGTCATGGCGTTCCATACGATAGCATCGACAGAGTTATGAGATTTGGCTTTATAGCTCTGCCTACCAACAGTTTAAATTCAAGCGCCACTAATGAATCTTATATATAGACGAAACACACGTCTTGCGTACACAATATAAGCCTGGTATGTGACGTACGTTTCTTACGAGAAATTACTCTTTTAGTAAAGGAGGGTCACTTCTCCCCGATTTTAACCTAAATATTTACCCAAATAAAAAAAAAAACAACTTTTTATAAGTGATTCACCACTGTATACAAACTTTTATTTGTTGCTTTTTAAACTTAAAGCTCAGTACTACATTATCTCATGTTGATTCATAAAAGATTAAACCGTAAACGTCATGAAATAAAAATATTTGATATAGATATAGATAAATGTCCGCTCCTGTAGTTGTTTTTGAGATACATTCGGTAAGTAAAATGTCTGGATTTGTCTTATACGTGTAATGGAAAAAATGAATATCAAACTTGAAAATATTTTACAAATACTAGTAATAAGAATGTCAAAACACTTTACAAGATTTGTATTTGAGATGTAAGTTTTAAAGAAACAAAAATATTGGTTTCTAGGCAAATTTTAAATAAATGGCTAAGGGAAAATCCAAAGATGTTCCTTACCAAATATTTTAAGAACAAGCTAAAAAACATGAGAACCCAACATGCATGCCATTTTGTTACATGTAATCGTAAAATTTAGAGACGAAATTTTCCAAAATGTTACACTCTTTTAAGACCAGGATCCATGAATCAATAATATATTGGCGAAAATTCAGAACTTTTCAAAAAGCTCGGCCTATTGTGACCTTAAAGTGTATGTGTGGTTATTTGTGTCGTTTGCCAGGGTAGCTGTCTCGTTAAAATATAACCCTTTAAGTTAAACAGTTTTATTCATATCACGACAGTAATTTCAGTTAATGGTCACATTCACTATTTCCAGTCCGACAGTAAATCTCAGTGGCCGTCTCACTTTGCGGGATGTATAAATACGCAGCCACGCTCAGTCGAATTAGGACGATTCATAATTCTGACGTCTCGTGTAGACCGATTGTTAGACTATCTACACGTTAAATAAACCTTCCTACAACTATACGAGTGATCCGTATGCAACATTCCGTCATTTTCTATGTGCTGCCAACATGTCTAACCCTTTGGAGATCCAGGTCTACCAACATTGTAGACTGAACCTGCCTATTGCACAATGTTGCATCAACTGTTAATTTGACAATGTTTGCGCACTGAAACTATTTGCGTATGAGAGTTAAGCAAGCAACAATCGATCAAATATTGACACTATCAATGTGAATGTATACAACTGCATACTAAGGGGTGTTTAACGACCTTGACTACCCAGGAGGGTCTCGCACGGTCGGTATGTATATACATATTTCACTGCTTCTATTGAAATGACGGGTACTACGTGACACTGCGCCGGAGATTGTATCGAATGATGAGACATATTTTCTTTTATCCTATAGTTACGTAATTCCTTGAGTGGTGCTTTCAAAAAATATACCATATAAAAATGAGATGATGTGGGATGGTTGTCAATGCGAAAACTTTCCACCAGAGACCAAATGACGTAGAAGTTAGCAACTGTAGACTACCGTACGGCCGTCAACTAACAGCAAAACCCATACTGCATAGCAAGCTATTATAAAAGGCACTGACATAAAAAAAAAAGTAAAACATTACAAACGAGAAGTCTATATGG